AATCCAAGATTTCCCCCTTTTTTTTTAGCTAGTGTAAGAGCTAGAATAACTTAGTATGAAAGGGATAAATAGATAATTTGTATTCCTTTTGGGACCTAGTTTTGAATGATTATTCCATGAAATTTAAAAATTGTTCTTAGACTTTTGTCTATGGGTTTGTAAAATAATTATTAATAGTTGGCATTTTGGAAGAATTTTAGAAAAAGATTATTTCACCTCTTTAAAAAACAAGTTTTCTTAAGTATTTAAAATTTTTTTTATATATACCAAGATAGCTGCTCTGCAAATACTCTTGTTTGTGGGTGTAGAATTTGACTGTTCAATCCAAAGTAATGATAAGTCTCATTTATTAAATCAGTATATTACAGTAAATGCTTTGTGACAATATTCTATTATTATATAAAGGGATCATCTTCTTAGATTAAAAGTGACTTTCACTTTCTTTGAAAGCATTGTTATTGTTCACCCCTCCCCCTGCCCAGCTTTATTTTGGATCTGAGACAGAATGCTGATGATTTTACTCTACCGGCTTTCTGTAGTCACAAATAGGCATGCCATATCCCTCTAAGCAGGTCGTTTACATCCTGTCCTTAGCTGGTACTCTTAGCATGTTCATTTTTTTTTGATTGCTCCAAATTTTTATTTTGTTATCCTTTTCTATAAGTACTAGGCTAGTTACTTAATACATTCCAAATCTAGGTTAATATAACTAAACTATTGTATATTTACCTAGGCATCTTCAAATTTGGCAGATCTGCTTGTATTTATAATGCTGTACATATGATATTTTCATCTAAATCATCTTTATGTGTGTATTTTTAACAGCTTCACCGAGATAATTCATATATGCAATTTATTCATTTAAAGTATACAAGTCAATGGTTTTTGATATATTTCATTATTAATCTTTTTAAAATTATGGCAAATATACATATAACATAAAATTTGCATTTTAATCATTTTAGGTGTACGATTCAGTGGCATTAATTGTATTCACAGTGTTGTGTAACTGTCAACACTGTCTATTTCCACAACTTCATCACCCCAAGTAGAAACTCTGCAGTCAATAGTAGTTACTCTCCATTCCCTTTCCCCAGCCCCTGGTGGTCTCTAATCTACTTTCTGTCTCAGTGAGTCTGCTAATTCTGGAATCATACAGTATTTTTCTTTTGTGTCTGACTGATTTCACTTAGCATAAAGTTTTCAAGGTTCATCCATGTTGTGGTATGAATCAGAATTTCCTTTTTATGGCTGAATAATATTACACTGCATGTATAGACTACATTGTGTTATTAGTCTTTTGAATAGACACTTGGGTTGTTTCCTCCTTTTGGCTAGTGTGAATAATGCCACTATGATGAATACTGGTAGACAAGTATTTGTTGGAGCCTCTGCTTTCAATTCTTTTGGGTATATACATAGGAGTGGAATTGCTTGGTGGTAATATGGTAATTGTATGTTTAGCTTTTTGAAGAACCACCAAACTGTTCGCAGTGGCTGCACTGTTTTACATTTCCTCCAGCAATGTACAAGGGTTCCAGTTTCTCCACATTTTTGTCAACACTTGTTATTTACCATTTTTCTGATCATAGCTATCCTAGTAGGTGTGAAGTAGTAACTTCACTTTTTAAAAAATTAACCTCTGAGATAATTGCAACCTAAACATTTTACTTTGTAACAGATATAGTTTGCTAGGGCAGTATTGTACTTATTTGGTAACTTTAAAAAAAATAATGAGGATAATTTGGGGCCATTTGTTTAATTCCTAGCAGACAAAGAAACAATTTTTCAGTGGCTTCTACCACAGGTTACTATGTCTTTTAGGGAATGTAACAATGAGTGGATATTAGCTTATCTTCTCAAGGAACTAAAAACCTTTGGGGTATAAGACTGGTAGGTGAACCTTTCAGAAGAAGCAGGACAATATGCATCCCTAAAAGATGTACAAAGATTTAGAGGTGCTCTCAACAGAAAGAGCCACAGTTAGTTCAGGCAGAAAGAGGACAGCAGTATTTGAGATAAACCTTAAAGGATGAGTGGGATTTCAATAGTGTGAAACTAGAGTGGTAATTTAAGAGGTTACAGAAGGGGTATCTGACCCAGATCTATGGGCAGGAGAGTACATAGAGGGTTTCTAGGAAATGATTAATTGAAAAATTTAGGCTTAGGGATTCACAAGTTTATTGAAATCTAAAAACAAGAATAAAAATGTCGAAAACTCACTTGTTTGTATTTCTTCAACTTTTAAAAAAGTTAAAACAATTTTGGTAAGACAGGGATCGTCTATTAATAAAAGCATGAATTCTTGACATGGTATCTGTAAGCTTTAATGGAACTGTATGTGTGGATTATTTTGATTAAGCAAAGTACCATAGTTCTTTGCTTCCTATAGTATACAATTGTGTGTCATGTGTCACCCCAGTGTACGCTAAGATCATTTTGAAGATACGTTAAGGAAACAGGATTCCCTTCTGGGGTGGCATCTTGGCTGTGATAATTCTGCAGAGATTTAAACATTAATTTTAATCTTTTTTAGTGTAATACATGTACGTAATTATCTTTTGATTCTTAGGAGAACTCCTAAGAATTAGAACTTCTGATTCTTAGGAGACAGGGCAACAAATATTCTTGTTTTATGGGAAGTAAACTTGAGTGGCGACCAGCCAGCTGGAGAGTAGTAGAATCAGTAGATAACAAACCTAGTGATCTTTCTGTGATACGCCTAGAACTAAATATTTAGGTTAATGCAGTTCTCATAAGTAGAAGAGATAACAAGTATTTAAGTTGTTTCTTTAAATTACAGTAATTTATCTTAAAACTTTGTTCCTGATTTCATAAGGAATATGAATTATCAATAGATACCATTGTGAAACATAGCAGGGAAATGATAAGCTTTTTGCATTGTTGATTCATATAATTAGCCTATCATTTTGCTGGAGCACTGAAATAATCACCCATTTCACATGGGTGCAGTGGGTTTAATACAGTATTTGAGCACTGGGCACTGAATATTATGTAGTCTTTTCCCTCTAGGTGGCTCTCTGAGTCTATGTAGATGTAAACTGTTGAGAAGTATGTGCTATTCCTACCTTATTTTGTCTCTGCTCTGCTGGGATATGAATTTCATTTTAAGTAATTAAACTATGAAGCCCATAAATATAACACAATAGACACTCAATACAAATTAGAAAAGGAAATAAAGCAAATTATAACAGATATTTATTTATTACATGCCCATAAACATGGGAAAGGGGAAGAGAGAGACAAGTGGACCTGTAATTACATTGCTCTGATGGTCTAGTAAGTAAAGGAGGCTTATTAGATTTTTAGAATGCACTTCATTTTCAAGAATCTAATCGTATGTACTCATTGTGGGATAATTTTCTTGAACGTAAGAGAAGTGATTTATCTGTATCTTTAATGTTCCATAGAAAATTTGGTTTTGAAAAGGGAATAAATATAATTACTTTTATACTTAAGATAGAGCTATGGTTAGTAGAAGAAAAAAACTTTGAGTTTGCCAGTTTATGTGCTTATCAGTTCTCTCTTTATCTCCCTAACTCTTTTACACTTGGATCCATGGTAATATGGCATTTGCTCACACCATTGTATCAGAAGAACTCAGAACTGTCTGGCTATTTTTATCTTTTACCCTGATAGCTCTTCATTCCTTAGCATGCTTTCTTCCCTTGACATCTGAGAAGGTCGCTGTTTTTTCCCATTCCTTTCCTAATCATTTCTTCTTGTGGGTACCTCTTAAATATTAGTGTTTTAAATAGGCTTTGGTATTTGATTCTCTTTCTAATTTGTGCGGTCTCCATGGACAGTTTCATTTATATCAGAGTTGCAGGTACCATTTATGTGTCAGTGGTTTCCAAGTCTATGTCTCTGGCCCATTCCTTTCCTGAGTTCCAAACCATATCTTCACCTGCCTGCTGTAGCAGGCCTAGAGTAGGTATTTGGTAAACATTTGTGGAATGTATGAATATTTAGGACTTAACCCAGCATCTCTTTTCCCTGCTAAACTAGCCTATCCTCCCTATCTTTGAAATGACTTTCCAGTATCCAAGCTTGACTTGAATGTCTTTGATTCATTCTGCATTCTACTTTTCCTTATTCCTCGTTTACTCCATAATTACCAGTTTCTACCAGGTTTGGGAAAAGGACTGACTTGGGTGCACTGCCCTCATTCTGCAAACCTGCTCTGATTGCATGCCAGTCAGGCTTCTAATTTAGACCTAATCATAGTGCAGTGTCTTCCCTCCCCCCAAGTTTGTAGGCATATAATAAATATTTGTTCTAATTTGCTTTATTTTCTTCCTCAAATTTGTATTGAGTGGCCAATGTTATATATATAGATGCACTTCATAGTTTATGCATCTTAATACATATACTAATAGAGTATTTTTGAACCTTACTCATGAAAATGCAGTATGGACAGACAGTTTACAGAAGTGTTTCTTTGTAGATCCTTTATAAGTGACCATACACAAAAGGTTAAATGGTATAAAGAGTGGATAGCAGAAGGAATAGTGCTTTGTACATTAAATAATAAGATCATTTGATTATAATTATGATCGGTGCTATATATGTATCTAACACAAAAATAGATAAGATATTTAATTTGTCTAGGGTAGTAAATGTATTAACATTAGAATGTCTCTCGTTAAATCACTTTCTTATAATGCAGTAATATCTTAATTAACTAATTAAGTACAGCAGAAAACATAGCTTTTTACATTTGGTTAAATTCTTTAAATTATTTTTCATTTGGCATAGGCATAATTATCTCTTCTGCATTGGGGATGAAAAGGATAAACCTGTGTTAAGAAAATATTTAAATATAGTATGTGCCAGTGTGGTACCTAATGTTCTCAATCTTGGGACTCATGCTTAGAATTTTAGTCATTTTGTCTCTGGGTAATGTTGAGGTTGATTGAAGAGCTGCTGAAAAGTGTCAGTGACCACTTATCTTCTCCCACTTTATTGTGCCTCTGTAGGTACATGGACTATATCGCACAACAGGTGCTAGTTTTGAGAAGGCCCAACAAGAGTTTGCAACAGGTGTGATGTCCAACAAAACCGTCCAGACTGCAGCTGCAAATGCAGCTTCAACTGCAGCAACTAGTGCAGCTCAGAATGCTTTCAAGGGTAACCAAATTTAGAGAATCTTCAAACAATACACTGTTACCTTTTGACTGTACTTTTTTCTCCAGTTACTGTATTCTATAAATATTTTTATGTTCAAAACACGCAGTAAACATAGCATGTATGTTTCCAATTCACTTATGCATGGGCAAAAACAGAAAAACTTCCTTGTCTTATTATTTACCTAACAGTTTCTTAATATTTTAGTGCCCCCTGCAGAAAAAAAATATTACATGCTAAATAAATATTCTCCATATTTTTGGGGGATGAATGTTCAAATTATTTCAGTGGTGAGACTGAAATTAATATGGTACTTATGATTAAAAATGCATTTAGTACTAGTTACAGTCATTCTTTGAAGAATCTTAGATTTAAAGATTATACATTGGAACAGTAAAGTGATGCTTCATTCCTTTTTCCTTATTTATATTGACATAAATAGGCCATCAGAGACTTATGGACGTTTAAATTGGCTTGCTTTTTAGCAGTTTCAGTCACCAGTGAAGAGCCTATGTGCATTTCGTAGTAGATAATGTAAATTTTATCTTTTTACCTTCTTTTTTTAGAGTAGTTGATAGTTTGATATCAATCTCTGATCTTGCATGGGCACCATATTTCTGAAATTAAAAAAAAATTAGTATTTTGGGTTCTGCACTGCCTATGGTTATAAGTTTGGGGAGTTGTTTATAGAATCATAGAGGATTTTCTGTAATCGTTTCTTTTAAATAAAAATTTATCGGATGCAGTACAAGAATATAATTTGCAGTGCATTATCCAAAAGAAAAGGTAGATAATTGATGGAATAGAAAGTAGTGATAATACCTTTTTAAAATTTTTTTCAGTATTCATATCATAGTAAAATATTACCGTATGGAATCTTTGGTATATTCTCGTGGCTACTCTTTTTAATTGAACTGAGATTGTGTTTGGCAGCTCTTTTGGGGGGTGGTGTATGTATAATTTTTAACAGAGGTATTAAAGTCTGGCCTAACTCCTTGTCCAAAAAGAACATACAGTATTTAAGGGATTTTTCTTTTAGCCGCTCATCTCTAATGGCATTAAAAATAAAAAGATCCTGGCATTTTACAAATACTTGAATCCCTAATGCACCTCAGTCTTTCAATTTTAGAGACAGACTGAATCCATTAAAATTTTTCAGCAATAGAAAAAATAAAAGATTTAACTTGCACCAAGTAAGAAAATATACAGTTGAATGCATTAATTATGAATATAATAACATTAAAATTGTTACTGTGCAGCACAGGAGTTCATTCTTATAGTGTTTTTGGGTTGAAAGTTTGAATCATTTTTAATATTGATTAAATGACTAAAAGACATTTGTAAGGTGATGATACTGTGTTTTGGAAGTCATAAGCTATTTTAAGATTACAGAATCATAGGTAGTGATTTATTCAACTTGATTTTAAGTAAGGATAGTCAATTGGATTATATTATTTGAGACTGCAAATCCTTTAAAAAAAAAATCAGATGGGCACCAATGGTTAAATCACTTTCATTTTTCTCTCTAAATCTGGAGTTGAAATGAGTTTCATTCTGGGGGTGGGATGGTGAATTATCACTATTTATGAAAGAAGCTTTGCACGATAGTGATACTTGGTAATGCTAATCTATTCAGACGGTGTTTACATTTGATTTATTTGGGACTTCAATATTGAAGTATATACTTGTATTTCTTTTATTTTGATGAAAATAGGATTTAGAATATGAGTTTAAAGCTCTTTATGAATATTTCTGACTAGTGATAATCTCCACCTACTTTCTCAATCAAATAAGCCAGTTCAAGTTTTTCAGAATCTATCTTACTGAAAATCTGTTTCATCAGTTTGCTGTATTGAGTGTAGATTTAAAAAACATTCAAAACATTAACCACAAAATAAATATAAGAACACTTATGTCCATCATTAATTTATATCTCAAGTCCATTTTTGTATTTCTTGAAAGTACAAATGAAAGATATAGCATAGAGACTTTAAAAAAAATTCTGAGGTTCTTTCAAGAATTTCTGTATTCCGTAGAAATCCCGAAAGGTAGCACTGTTAAATAGCGAAGAATAATTACAACCAACAGTACCTTTTTTTTTATGTGGCTGGGGAAAATGTTATAAAATCCAATTATTTGGGTTAATACAAGCTTGTGAGAGAAAATTGTTTTTTAAAAACAAATGTGCATTAAAATGATGGCAATGCTTCTGGTTTAATAAGATATAGGGGTTTTAAATTCCTATATTTTTATTCTTTTAATAATTAGTAAAATGTCATGTTTTCATTCAGCAAAAGATTGGCATTTGTTCGTGTTTTATATTTAATATTAACATTACCCAGAATCAGAATCATGAAATGGTCTCGACATTGTAAGCATCCATGTCATTTTTCAGTTTGCAATATTAAGTTGTGGCTGTTTTATTTCAGACTGATGTTCGAACACTGGAAAATCATTGCTCAGTGATTTGTAATTTGGGACTTGGATTATTTATCTAGGGATGTTTGTATATTTTGTCAATGAGTAATACTGCGCTGTCATCATGGTGACTGTCATAGTTCTATATAAGTGCTCTCCATCTGTCTCTCTAATGTTGCATGTTTTCAGTGGTTTGGAAGTTTTGTATATTTATTGTATTAACACAGAGTGTCATAAAATAAAATACTGTTTACTGGATGTTTGTTTGTATAATTTTAAACACTATATTAGCACTTCAGAGGCAGAAATTATCCTGAGAGTTTAATGTATATAAAATTTCACATTTGATTTAAAAAAGAAAATCTGTATAATTCCATCATGTGCTAAACAAAATATATAAAAGACTTAGTTAAAAACTCTCAGCAACATTAAATGACAATTTTTCTGTTGCATTAGACCTTTGTAGGTAGTGGAACATGAGCTTCACTCATATTAAATATTTTGACCACTTTAAGGTCAAAATACACAGACTGTCTAGAAGTTAGATTCAAAATGGAAAATGTGTTTTGCAGCTCAGATTTTTTCCTAGTAGTTTAAAATGGATGCCTCTTTACTAGTATTGTATTGATTCGATTGAACTTGTGTTCTGTTCCCTAACATCGCTACTTAATGCTGTTTTATGTATTGATGAAAGTACCTGGCTGTGTATTGTTGGATTTTTCACTTGGTTATTTAAAGAGGATGTAAAACTATAATCTAAAATAATGGTCATGGTGAATCTTATTTTGAAAAATACATAAAAATGAGTTTGGATTGTCATTGGATGTAACTCCTATAAATCGTGTTGAGATAATGTATGGTTTGCATATTAGAGGGAATTTATGTTAAATTTATTAGTTGTTGCTGTAAATCATTTGTAGTAGCATAATAACTTTTACAATTATTGCGATATCGTTTTCTGAAAACACCGACATTAGCATTTAATTTTATCCATATTGGTAAAATCTGCGTTTAGACTGTTCATGTTCAGAACTTGTTACATTTTTGTGAATATTTTCCTTTTAGAATTACCATGACTGTTTAAATACCATTTCACTGTATCTCCTTCCATTTTTTCTTTAAGGAAATGTTTAGAGGAATTTATTGATTCCATGTGATTAAGACCTTTAAAGGTGAAATAAAAGTGGTTAATGTAGAAATAATTGAAGATGGTTAAAAATAAAATACCTATTTCATAGATTGCCAAGTACCATAGTATAAATTTATTTAGAGTAGAATAATATATTTTCAAACATTAGAATTGGTTTAAATACTTGTTTATTAAACTAAAATTGTATCTCAATGGTTAAATATTATGGAGAGTGAAGTATTTCACTAGAATTAGGGTACATTTTACAAAATATCCTGCTTTTTGTATTGGTGGGTATTATTATGGACTTTATCACAGAATATAGAGAGCTAGAAAGAAATCTATAGAAATTTCTAAGCCAGGCATTGCCACTAATCTGTCTTAAGTAGATATCTTTAATTTAAAGATTCTAGGAAAAAAGGAAAAGACTCTTCTCCAGTGTTCATACCCTTTCTGTGGGTTCCATATTTACAATTTAACTTTGTGGTTTTGGTCGGACAAAACTTAACCTGTAGAATTTTCATTTGAAAATACTGTTTGTGTTTTCAAATGGCAAGGGACATGGGAGTCACTGTATAGCAATGCAATGAATGTTAAATTTTATGTTTATCAGAATCTTGGATTTGTTTTTCAGCTCATATTTTTCTGGGCTTGGCATGGCTGATGATGTAGCTAAAATCATCTTGCCACTAAAACTCTTTGTTTTCTTTAATAGGGACAGAAAATAATTAATCCTCTTTTACTTAGTAATGTTTCATATACTTATGTCAAATTATTCTGAGTATTATCTTCTCTATACTTAAATAGTCCTAATTCGTAGAATTATAGCACGCAGACTTTATTTCTTTTAACTCTTTAGGTGTTTTCATCACTTAGATACAATCTTAGAATTCTCCAGAACTTTTATAATATTTTGTGGGCCAGTGATCCTCAAGATAAATCATGGTTGTAGTAGTTATTACTGTTGGCAGTTTGTAATATTCTTTAGGTGTTTGGGGGCCAGGAAAAAAAAATGCCAAAAATCACTGTCTTTTATCTGGTGATCACAGTAACTACAATATTAGAGTCACCTACATAAAAACTGAGTCCATTGAGCATACACATCCCTCAAACTAATTTTTTCTAGTATGAAAGTAATATATACCTGTGTATAACTGAAAAATATGGAAATGATAAATGAGAATATATATAATTCTGTCATATCTAGGGATATCTAATGTTTTATTGGATTTGTTTGCTATTTTTCTACACGTGTATTTTATAGAGTTAAGGAATATAAACTGTAGAATTTTAAAATCTTATTCCCCCCCACTCAGCATTATATCATAATGACTTGACAGTTTAGCTGTTAAGATTAACTTTTAATTTTTAAAATTAATATACTTTAATATAATTTAGAGAAAATATAAGCAAAAGAAGATCAAGTTGCTCCCAATTTTACAAACCTATAAGTAACTACTATTAACATTTGGTTTATATCTTTAACTTTCTAGGAAGGCAACTTTTTTCTAAAATGAAAAAAAGATTTTTCTCTTTTTCCTTGTAATAGATCCTTTAGGGCATCATTTCTTTGGGCCCATGAAGACCGCATTGGTACTAGATGTTATGTAGCCATAGTGGACTCATGCTTGACTCATTAAATTTTTATCCTGAATGTAGATTTATACAGAACTATACTGTTGCAGAATTGGAACATATGGGTAGCTATATTCTGCCATGAGGGAAGGAGTCACCAAAAAGCTGAACAAGACATGTAGGATGTAGAAAAGATCTTAATAGCTTTCCATTTCCTATATGGGGCCCGACTGCTCACCCATATTTCATCCCATTATCCTATTAATATTCTTACTCTTTTTTCTCCCTGAGCTTCTTTGAATTGGTTTCCTGTTACTGTCAACTGGAGAATTTTAACATACAAAGGTTTGTAATCTTTTTCAATTATATGTTGAACTTTTTTCTTATTGCTGAATATATTTCTATAACGTTTAGTAGCTACCTTTATATGCATATGTCATAAATTATTTTTCAAAGTCCTGTTCTCTCAGGTTCTGATTTTTAATTTTTTTAAATATCAAGAAATATATTGTTGCTAAATTTGGGGGCACAGGCTTTTTTTCTTTCCTTAGAACAAGTTGCTGGGTCAAAGCATAAGCATATTTTTAAGACCTTTGATGTGCATTGCCAAACTGCTCTCCAGACAATTCTATCAATTTATGCCTCCATCAGCAGTGTACAAAAAGGCCTCTTTATCCATACTCTGCCAGCATTGGATGTCCCTTTCCTAAAAAGTCTTTCCCACCAGTAGGTTTTGACAAGTAATCAGGAGGTTTGCTTTCTGAGCATTCTGGTTTCCCATAATGGGCTTGCTTAACACGACCTGTTTATTTTTTGTTTTTGCCAACTAGGAGTGACCATATATCCTGCATCTACAGAGAAATCTTCCACTTCCTGAAAGCCCGAAGCTAAAGGTGATTAGTACAGGATGGAAAAAGAAACAATGACCTTAGGTAGCCAATCCATTGAGCCTCCCTTAGTAAAATTAGATTGGTTTTAACAACAGGTTATGCTATTCTTCATGAATTTTTAGAACAACTCTTAATTTTTAAGATCAGTCCTAAATGGTAGTCTGGGTGGACAAGATTCTCTAATTTTCTTCTAATTTTGACTTATTGAAGACTTACTATATATCAGAGACTATACTAAATGCTTTACGTATATCACTTAATCCTCATACCAAATCTATGATGTCATTTCTGTTGTCCCTATTTTTATAGAGAAGTAGGAAATTATCCCGGTCACTCATTGAGTGGTAGTGAAGGGCTAAGGATGGGCAGTTAGATCCATGTCCCCTGACTCCTGCCAAATGTAGGGCTGCTTTTGCCACATGCTGCCACCTCTCTCCAATTCTGTTGTTTTTCTGTCTTTCCACATTTCCAGTAATTCATATCCATCTTTTAGGGACAATGGATCCTAGAAATAAAATCAAGAAAAATTACAACATGTATTTTTGATGTCTCAAGACCAAGGCCTTGCTCCACAACATGTGGGTGAGTACCTACAGTTTGCTCTTCAGCAGTGTTAACTTACTAATAAATAGTCTTTGGCTTTTGTGTGTGTGTGTTTGGAGAAACTTTAGATGAAGACAAAGCCTGATTTATCAGGTTAACTATGAAGAACATATGCCTTTTAGGTAATCATAGATGCTTATCCTGGATGAGGGATTAGTTGTAATAAGAAGAAAAACTCAAACTGTCATTCGTTTTACCACTGTCATATACCTGATGAGTTTTTAGTGTCTGTTTCCAGGATTAAGTGAATTGCAACACATGGTGTCATCTTTGAAAGTATGAAAAATTACCAGGTCTTTCTTAGAAAGGAAAGAAAGATCAGTGTTTTCATCAGTTGTCATCTTATAGTATGATCTTTTTGGAGTTATACTTGGAAATTATTCTAAGAGTTAAATACATAGAGATGGTGTCCCCTGGGGTTCATATTGGCTACCTTCTCACTCTATACATTCAAGATTGAAAGAAACTACAGCGGTTCAAGAATATAGACTTTGGTGTCAAATCATTTGAGCCTTGGCTTTGCCACTTATTAGCTTTTTAATTTGGGACAAATTACTTAATCTCAGGGTACTTAGTGACACTTGATTTACCTATAAAATGAGGATGATAGTTTCTATTCATAGGGTTTTGATGAATAAATGAATTATATGAAGTGTTTAGCACAGTACCTACACATAGAAAGTGCACAATAATTAAAAACTCTTATTGTCTGCACTTGTGTATTGATGACTTCCAAATTTCTGTCTCCAACCTGGTCTTCTCTCCACAGTATATTCCTAGCTGCACTCAGGACCTCGCCATTGGCAGCCTAAGCCAAACCTTCCTACCTTCCCTGTCTCTGCTTCTCTTAGCTTCCCGATCTTGGTGGTGGCATCACTTTCCATCCTGTGCCCATATCAGATACCTGAAAGTCATCCTGGACTCTTTCCTCTCTTCTCTCAACTGCTTCTAATCAGTCACCAGGCTGTACATTCTTTCTCCCTAATGTCTGATTCATCTCATTGTCTTCACTATCACCTGCCTTAACTTAGGCTTTCTTCTCTAGAGAATAGACCATAATGGTTTCCCCAGAACATAGGCAGTTGGAGGACTGCTTGCTTGCAGGTGTTAAGACTTTTTTAGGCTGTTTGGCTACAAAAAGCTGCAATTATCTACATGTTTTTTGATTGATTTTTCTTTCCCTTGTGGTTTTGCTACTTCCTCTTATTTATTTATGCTTTTATCTACATCCTGTATACCTAAGCAAAATGAGCAGTTCATGTCTTAAAGACTTATTTTGCAGAACTCTTCAGGGTGAGGAGGAACCTGCAAGGAAGAAGATAGTAGTAGGGACAGCAGTAGGATGGCTCAGCCAAATGACTCAGCAGCTGATAAAGCTTCTGAAATAAAGACAATTATTGGTTCTTGCTGCTATGAAGAGTGGGCTAAAAGTTTGCTTTGATGCTGTTATTCTTTAGTGGCAGAGGTGATAAAGATACTAAATTATTGAAACTACTGAAATAACCCACTTAAAGGGAATGTCCAAGATAAGACTGTTTTTAAGTGGTTGTATGTTAAGCAGAGACTTTGAGAGCTAGGAATAAGCTGAATGTGATGTGTTCCAGGAGTAGTAATCATGGAAAGTTTACCTAGTAGCAGAATTGCCAAGTAAAAACTAAGGATGAAATGGGAAGCACACGTGACGGTTCCCCAGCCTCTGCTGAAATTTAAAGCCAGGGTCCTTTAGCTGTTATTACATCTTTCTCAAGAGTTAACCCACAAGAGGGTTAACTCTTGAGAAAGATGTAATAACAGCTAAAAAAAAAAACCCAAAAAACCAAAAAACCAAACAAACACATTTTCTAATTTGCTTGGCTTATTTCGATCATAATGTTTGGAAATTTTTTCTTTAGTGATTTAGATAATTTTGTCAGTTTTTAATTTTGGTTTCTATTTGGATAATAGAAATAGATAATTTTGTCAGTTTTTAATTTTGATTTCTATACACACATTTTCTAATTTGCTTGGCTTATTTCGATCATAATGTTTGGAAATTTTTTCTTTAGTGATTTAGATAATTTTGTCAGTTTTTAATTTTGGTTTCTATTTGGATAATAGAAATAGATAATTTTGTCAGTTTTTAATTTTGATTTCTATTTGGATAAAGATGTAGTAACAGCTAAAAAAAAAACCCCAAAAAACCAAAAAACCAAAAAAACAAATTTTCTAATTTGCTTGGCTTATTTAGATCATGTTTGGAAATTTTTTCTTTAGTGATTTGGATAATTTTGTCAGTTTTTAATTTTGATTTCTATTAGAAACCTGGCAGGTATGTTTCGAAATCAAAGCATAAATGTAGTTTCAGCTGTCACAGGCTCCAGATCAGGAAAAGAAATAGCCATTTTTGTTTATTCTATCAGATAAGTGCTTCGTGGAATATGGAGAGTTGAGTAAAAGTTTATGAAAAGGGTCAATAGTGTCATCTTTGCGTTTATAAATTAGAATTCTGCTTCTAGATGAGGCTTTTTATGGGCAGGATTACCATCAGGAAATTTGGATGAGGAACTGCTCTGCAATTGGCTTTTAATTCTGGATTTTTGTTGGAAGAGCAGAATGTGCCCTTCAGTTTTTTTTCTTTGTCATTATACATACTTCCTTGTGTGTGTATATATGTATAAATATGTATGGGTATATATTTGTATTTCTTTGTAAAACCTTTTTAAATGCTTCCAAGCATTTCAGTATTTCTTAATTTTACTTTAAGATAGTTGTACTTGAGTTTTTCTTTTTATAACTATGTTGATGCTTTTCCAAGGAAGAAATATATACAATACTTATCTTGAAGTTCAAACTAACCTAAGGTGGGATATGTTGCTGGTGAAAAGAATAGTTAAAATACCTGAATATCTTTTATCCTGTGGTAAATGTTACCTATACGTTAGTGTTTAAAATAAAATTTGACTGATAGGTCTTTTCTTAATCAAATTATACACATCATATTGAAACCAATATACTTAGATTTGAACGAATTCAAATAAGTTTGCAAAATCTGGTTTAATTCAGATCTGGGGAGAGGAGGGGAGCACATTGTTAAAATACATAGGCACAGGAACTTAATCAATGCTAGACAAACAATGTATTAGTTTACAATATAATAGGATAACCACAAATTTGAAGGCTCAAGTTGAGTCCATTGGGAGTAAATACAATTTTATATTTGGCTCAAGTGGCTGTTGAAGGAGTTTCACCACAGTCTCAGAAGAAATCCCAGTTGTGCCTTTAACTCTTTTGGCCCTTGGGAGTCATTGCTGCCCAAATACAAACGCAGGCCAGGGATTTCCAGTGGCCAACATGTTATTGCACAAAGAGGTCTGTTCTAAGCCAGACTCTCATGGCTAAGAAGGTGTAAGATCAGCTCTTAGTGGTCTAGCATTAACATGGTCTACCAAAGCATGTTAAGAAATAGCTCCTTAGTGATTATGTACCAGCTACTAGTCATCACACTAACAGAAAAGGCAACAGGGCAGCTTCACATTTCACATGAAAGACTAGCATTAACTGGGCCTGGCTTGCTGGCTTAACTTTCACATAAAACTAGTGATTATTTTAATTTAGACCCAGAAAAAAAAATTTATACCAGTCTTTTCTTCACATAGGTTTGTGTAGCATTAAAATTGTTTTGGGTTAATGACTAGGCCATGAAGGCAAAAATGTTTAACTCTTCCTTTGCCAAAACAGAAACAACCCCTGTTCTGACTCCTGTCCAGTTTCCAAAAAAACAAAACATACATACACCTTTGTTATTGCACATCTTTCACACAGACTTGTGTATGTATAATATATATATTTTTTAAATATGCTACACATAAAAAGACTATGGCACTTTACAGAATACATGTTTAACAAAGATCATTACACCACAGATGTTTGAAAACTATACAAAAACCCTTACACGATTAATGTAACATTGTTGAATTAGCACACAGGTTTAAAGAATCCACAGAATCCAAGGCAAATATTTCTGCCTTCTTAGAGTTCCTTGAGAAGCCCAGCCCATCACAAAACTTTTAAGCACAAATGCAAGCAAAAATAAATAAGACTTTTCTGGTAGTAGTAATGGTCCAAGTATATTAGATTTTTAGACTGAGGCAATTAGGTGATTAATAGAAATTTATTAGAAAAATAGGTGTGGGTCAATAATCAGTCTAATTATTTTTAACATACTTCTAACATATTCCTCATATATTCAGTGGTTTTTAAACAGCCTCTGCAGTTGGGTCTAGACTAACGTGATTTTGGATGTTCCATTCATCTCACCCGAAGCCTCGTAATGCACTAAAGGTTAAAAGGCCCAACATTACCTCTTATTCTTTACTACAGAAATTCCATCTCTGCTCTGCTTACTCAGTGTTTAAGTAGTTTTTAGTGGTTTGGGGTTTTGTGTGTATATGTGCTTTTTTTGGTCTTCTGTTGCATTCAGAATAGTGAAGTAAACAGTGTCAAGTGACTTCTGTTCAAGAGAAGTCACTTTTTCACTTGTGACTTGTTATCTAGGGACACTCACCACCTTAGCAAAGACAGGCAGTAAAGATGATGGATTGCTCAGAGGATCCTCTGGGCTTATGACTTGTCTGTAAGGAGAGTGAGAGTTTAAAATTGGTGTTAGAAAATGGGTTCTCTATCTTTTGTACAGAAAAGAGTGAATCTTCTGACACATTTAAGAAAAAAAATGTTTTTATCAAGAGTTGCCTGATGAAGCGAATTTTTTTTTTTTTAAGTGAAAATTATTGGCAGGGCTTAAAGTAGTTGCTGTGGTGGCATCAGGACTTAGTTAGAGCATATAAATGCCTAGTCAGGTATAGGAGCTTCATCCAGTGGCTGCCAAAATCTTTGTCAAGAATAGAGTTAGTGTCTCCAGAGTGCTTACACAAGGCTGCTATTAGTATATGCATTTACTCTTTCTCTTTTCAAAGAAATAAAGTCATAGGATTTACATTTTGCTTGTTCTGAACTTTGGTCTAAGAATGGTGAACTCATTAAGGCCTGGTTCCACACCCTTGCCCCTCCTGCCCTTAGCTCTTAATCTACACGATAAGATGGTTTCTGGTATAGGCCAAAGGCCGGAATGGAGTAAAACTTGAGTTCGTCCATTCCATTTATATGTAAAGCAATTAGTTGTTCTGCACCAAGGCAAGGCATGGTTTTAGACTCACTGCTTTAAGATGATTCACTGCAGCAAGGTTGTAAAATCTGAATCAGGTGGCACTTAACAAACAATACCATGCCCAAACAAGGTATGTAATTTGTTAAATTTTCAAAACAAAGCAAGCCCTCAAGTGAGCAGATTCATAAACCCATAGACACTGAATCCTTCCAGAAATCTGGCAACTCCACTCCAGTTGCTTATGTTGCTATGGAGTGTTTATCATTCTCCAGTTCTGAGCTCAAGGCAAATACTAGACTAGGTTTTTTCTGGCCACGTTGATCATTCCAAAGTAAATTTGAAGTGATGGTTAATACCATTTTCCTGAACCTATGATATTGGTAATTTATAGAAACTTGATTAAAAGCCCTTGAACCCTTTATAACAATGGTAGTCAATTCTTTTTGAAAATAGGTATAGGCAGATGCCATGAGCTAGCTCTTTTTTTGCATTCACTTTCCTACTCTGTGCTTTCCTGGGAATGAAGCCTTTGATGCAACTCACCAGTTGCAGCAATTGCATGTTATCTCAGAATCAACACCAGTAACTAGAAAAACTCAAGCCCCGTGATTAGCTTTTTTTTTTTTTATGCACAGAATGGCATTTTGCTGCTGTTGGGGTTGGAAATATAGCTGACTACAGCATGGTTACCAAACAAACAGTGGGAAAAGGTCTCCCCACAAGTGCTGAGATTCTGGCAAGTTCTCTCAGTGAACATGTGAATGAGGCACAGCTGGCTTGGAGACCTCTCTGTCCCTGGAATGAGGAAACAGTGAGATTTCCTTTGGCAGTCAAAGCCCAGTTCCAATGCAAGGAGAAAAACGTGATCTCTAGTGGAAGCAGAATGAATTTGTCTCCACTAGCAGGAGACACATTTTATTCTCAGGATCCTATCCTTATTCTTTGAGTGGCAGTTCAGTTGATTCACCTTATCCTGGAATTCAGCCTAGAATTAAATTCCACAATAGGATTCCCCACTGCCCGCTTTGGTGTGCTGAGCAAGAGACAGTATCTTGCTCTGCCCTTTAGCATACACCCTATGCCCAGTAAGAGTGCAGTCTTCGTTTTAGTCTCCAGTTGAGACAACTTGAAAGAACTAGGAGCAAATAGTAACATCAACCCCCAGACCTCATTCTGAGGCAGAAATGCTCACAGGCCTGCAACCTTGTGGTAGAAACACAACTCAGAACAACCAGCAAACCTGGCTAACAGTCTCTTCTGTTACAAGAGAAATGCTGTTTAATAGTTTAGATCAATATCCTTCACTGAGCCTTGGGGGAGATGCAGTGTAGCTGAACTTGTTAACTACACGTCTGTTTATGTACTATTTTCATGTTCTCTCTCTCTCGATTTGCATTGTGGTCCTCATGTGCAGTCACTTTGCTTAGCTAGATGTTGCCTCTCATTGGTACTGTTAAGGCTCCAGGCTGTGGAATGTGGCTTTTGTAGGTAAAGGCTAGTTCTTTACTTGACTCAAACAACAAAACCAGAGGTGGACTGTTTCACAAGGAAGAAAATGGCATTTTTGTCTCTTCCAAATTAAAGGAGGCAGATAAGGTTTTTCCCCTCTTCGATTTCTTCCTGAACTTTGTCACTGGAGGTTGCAATTTCTGCTTGTGCAGAAAAGATGGCACAGATGAAGGTGAGGACTGTTCCACCGATGGCAGTATAAAAGGCCCAGCCCAAGGAGCAGTCTCCAGGTTTGTAGGCCGATGCGTAGTGTCCACAGTAGGCAATGGCCTTCTGGCAGCCCCAGCCAGCAGGGTAGAGTATCAAACCAAGGATAAGGAACAGGCCTGTAGGGTAGAAGAGAAAAGAGGTGAAAACTCCCATGGCTCCATAATGTAAAGTGAGTACCTGTACAGATGGTGTAATTGTTACCTGATTGCCTGCTTTGGGTTATGGAATCCGTTCTGCAATAGCAAGTGTTAGGGACTGTTTCATACAACTAACCTGACCTGATCAAGATACATCATCACTTTATTAGAAATATTTTTAGCTGCTTTTGTACATGTTGAAATGTGTACCCACGAATAAATTCTCTTCTAGAAAAGCAAATTAACTTCTTACTGAGGTGAACATTTCCCTTCTGGTCTAAGGCTGAGGTCGGCATACTAAAGCCACGTAAATGTGGCCTTGTTTTTGTAAATATTTTATTGGAAATCAGCTAGGCCCATTTGTTTATGGAGTGCCTATAGCTGCTCTTGTACTGGAATAGCACAGAAAGTAGTTGCTACAGATCCTATGGCCTGCCGAATCTGAAATAGTTACTATGTGGCCTTTTGCAGAAAGAGTTTGCCAACATTTGCAAACTTCATAAGAATTTTTTGTCTGAAGGCTGTTAAGTGAACTCGGCCTTGGGTAGACACTAATAAGATGTTTCCATTTCACTGACCCCACTGCCCTGTCATACTTAACGTCTGTCTTTCTATTCTTTACAGCTTTACTGCCCACTGTGTAATTGAGTTATTTTTCCAGCCAGCCTGGTGAGTGAGGAGCTCCTCCGGGGCCAGAACTAAGGTAAGTGAGGCACAGAATGCTAGGAGACAGTCACTTTTCGGTATCCACCCTTTACTTGCGGGAACCTGAGAGCGAGTTGCTTGCCTTGCCTTAGTCCTGGCCCCAGCCAGCCGCACAGCAGAGCTACTTATGGGGAAGTCCGGAACCTGAAATGACAAAGGCAACTAAGGGCCCCCAAATCTTACCTAAGAAAACTTTTTGTAGAAAGGATGCTGCAAGGGGACGGAGTCATTCTATGTGGCATAAAAAAGAACGTTTTCTCTCAAATATGACACCTATGTAATCAGGATTGCTAATTCATAACCCAAAAGACCTGTTTTTTAAATACTATAGAATAGCATTTCTATCTTCATAAATCTTGGCTTAACTTTTTCTTACTGTTATTAAAATTTTCCAGGTTTACTATCTCAGAGCTTTTAAATCATTTAAAGCAACTTGCCCACAAAAAGAACATGTGATAGTATTAGGTTTGAAAGATCAGATCAGAGACAGTATTTGAAACTACAAATCATAACTTTCATAGAGCTGTCTTCATCTTGTGATGATGGCATGTTCTCACCAAGCCTGACAGTTCACTACTATAGTGGGTTTTGGGGTTTGATTGTCCCTACTTTTCCCAAGTTAATCCCATTGTTCTACGCTGAAGGCCTCAGGAGACTTTCTAGCAGAGGTAGAATGGAAGAAATCTGTTCATATGCTCATTTTCTGAAGAATGGTGTATCACAAAAGCAGCTTTGTAACTCTGTAGCCCTCTATTCCTCTAGAGGCAGTGGAGTGCTGGGAGCAGAGAGGCAGTGATGTGTAGCTGGGGAAATACTAACCAATGTTGGGAAGCATAAGTGAAAGGAGCAGCAGACCGAGGCATCGTGGAGAGATGCTATTAGAAATGACTAAGAGCATAGAGTAATTCCCCCAAAGATAAGGCAGCCAGTGGAGAATGTGTTGGTACTCTGGAATATGCAAGGTCTTGAACCAACAATCTTGGTTTGGGAGTGTGGAGTCAATTCAAAGGCTAGAAATCACATAGTTAGAAAAGCCCCTATAGCTAGTGTGAGCTAGAACACAAACCAGCAAGATAATGGACCACAGCAAAGACTCACTAAATTAAGAGGTGGGTCAGTTAAGAGCTCAGAATTGGGAGTAAGACATGTCTGAATCCAAGTTCTGCCGTCTCTGAGCTGGGTAACCTTAGAAAAGTCTCCTAACCTAAGTATGATTCCTCACCTGTAAAATGGGCTAATACTTAACTCAACGTGGTTGTGAGTATTGAAGTCTATAAAGAGTACTTTCTGTATCCATAATAGCAGCAATAATGACACTGGGACAGAAGACTAGCACCTGACAATAGTTTAAAGCCGTTCAAAGTTTACCAGTTATGAATAAGCAGGTCAGCTTATTTTTGAGGGTATATTTTGAAAGGTGTAATAATTTGGGGAGAGGAGAACCCAGGCTACAATTTAGTACCCTTGAAAGAATAACCATCTGCATCTGAACAGATCTTACTCATCAGGGGGAGAGCTAAAAATTGAGCTAATTTTTATATTTCCAAGGCCTATGATAAATCCCCACCTTGTTTCCCAGGAAATCTCACCCACAGTGCATGGAGCCTTGTTGTTCTCCCTCAGGTGCTAAGTTAACTGCCCTGGGAATCATGAGGCACCATCGCTGGGGTTTATATAAGGATTCGGAGGTTCTTTCTGGCATATAGCCACTGCTGCCAAACTCTAGTGCAGGCCCTAGGCAAGGGGGCATGAGCTGCTCTTCTCTTCAAAAGACCAGTGTTTGTGTTTGAATGGTGGCTCTAATTAAATATTAACTGCATTGTTTGTATTACATGGCTTAAACAAGCCCAGTAAGTGAAAGTAATGCATTTCATTATGATAGGGACAGAAAGCATGGAGTTTGTTGTCACATAGCACCTCTGCTACCCTGTGCTAGGCTCACAAAGTACCTGAATTTGGTTGTCTTATCCTTCTAGGAAGTACACTAAGTTTAAAATAAATAATATAATCTTTATTTTAATATCAGACCCCTTTTCACAGCACAGCCAAGAACATTCACTCCATTACACCTCTCTAGCTATCTTAGGTGCTCCCTTTTCTGATAGCTCAAAGTTTCAGAAGTGCTTTAGGCCACCTTAAAATCTAGTGGCTGCTACTGGCCAATTTGTGAATGACAGTAGGGAGACTTACTGTATAAGGGTGCCATGCTTATGAGTCTGTCAAAATCCTCAGCTTGAATATTTATAAGCCCACAGGGCATTCTGTGTGGGAGGATAATAAAAACTGGGCTGTGGTATGTCTCCAAGAGGGATGTGTGCTGAAACCACATGCTCCCAGCCCGGGAAGCTAGCCTAGACAAACACAAGAGTACCTTATCTGAATTCTCAGCGGGTCAGGGGGAGGAAGTTGCCACTGTCTACCCTGCCCTGGCTGGTAGGCCTTTCCTCCCAGCACTCATCAGAGTTGTCATCAGCATGGTTAATGCCATGAAAATGCAAGACCTATATCGAAGAAAAAGAAAAGAATGGGCCTTCAGGTATGCAAAAATTAAACTCACACTTTTCATCTTTCTGGGTATTTATAAAAAGGCTCTTCTACCAAAAGAATTCCAGATAGCTTAGTGATTTGGGTGGCCCTCTCTGGTGACTGCCACACTTAGGCCTAGGTCCTGACTCGCCACTGTTCTTGGGGCCCAGAGCAGTGTCTGAGCAGTGGTTCCTGGGCCCTTGTAAGTATCCCTTAGCGAAGCACAAACATCATCAGAACAGATTCTTCTGCTTCCTAGTAAAAATTACTGAGAAATAGCACATAAAGGTTTCCCATCTCTCAGGGTAAAATCAAGCTTCCTTTCCCTGGCCTTCAAGGCCCCACGTGACCCAGCTCCTTATTACCTGTCTGAACTCACCTCTACCTTTCATACTCTTGTTCTCTCTGCTCCAGCCACACTGGCCATCTGGCTTTTCCTTGGACACATCAGGCATGCTTGGGTCTTTGCACTTGCTATTCCTCTCACCTGCAGTGCTCTCCTACCACATAGCTTTCAGGTCATCTTCAGATGCCACCTTCTCAGTGAGACCTTCCATTCCAGTCTATTTAAAATTTCAACCACCTACTTCTCCCCCACTTGCTATCCCCCTTGCTTGCATTATTATGTCTTTTTAGCGCTTATTGCTAATATGTGACCTTTTTTTTAACCTAAGAAATGGCCATTTCACTTGGTCCAACCTACTGTTTTTACTTATTTTGATTGTTCATCCACCTCCATCCTAGACTAAGTTCCACAGGGGCAGGGATTTTTATATATCTGATTTACTACTATAAAGCTAGTGTTTAGAATAGTGCCTGGCACATAGTAGGCACTTAATAAAACTTAAATGTCAATATAATTTGTTTTGTAATATTTCTAAACCATAGTGCCCCTGGGGAAAAACGGTAAAATAACTCTGACAGAGACCGATCAGTAAGAATGAAATGTGCCAGCAGGAAAGGAAATGGAGACTCTTGGTTGGCTGACTTATCCTGTTACACTGTCCTGTTCTAGGCCTGAAAATCCCATGGTTTAGAAGCAAAGTTGTGCCCCAAATGGGTTTGATGACACCAGCTAATGAGACAAAATTAAAGTCCATGACTTAAGAAAATAGGCAAGAGAATATAATATAGCAAGATATACCAAGTCTACCACCAACTGGGCATGGTTTTTCTGGTCTTCAATTTGGAGTATCCAGGGACTATCAGCTTGGTTGTGGCTTATATCCAGAAGCCAAATGGGAGGTGAGGTGTGCTCTGGATTGAGTTTCACACAAGAGTCAAACCAGAAAATGGTCTGCTCTCCCTTTGCAGCTATTAAAAAGGCAATTCCTGAAGTTAGGCTAACCTATAGTGGTCTCTGAGGACTTTCTATCGCCTTACCTTAATGCATTATTGTTTTGGTGTATGTTTTTTGGTGGGTGATAGACAACAGAAAAGACCAGGCCAGTGGGCATTCACTTTTCTTTTGACTGGCATCTCTCCCTGGTATCTGGCTGAGCTTAACAGGCCCAGCTGGGAAGAGGAGGAAAAGCAGAGAGAATGATACTGGCCAGTATCCAAAGAAAATAGCTACCACTGAAAGAAACCATAAGTAACTCAGATGGCTGGTAACCTCTGTCATGGCTCGACTTGATAGGATGGAACCATTTTCCATAACCTTAAAAGATATCTTTATCCTTCTGCCCTTTCTCTTGCTCACAGCCTCCTGATTCACTGTACCAAGAGGATTAGATGCTAGCATCCCA